GTAAATTTTTAACTTTTTGACTAAAAAATCACTTGCCAAACGATAACTTTTGTCTTTTATTAAGACTTTTTTAGCCTAATTTGGTTTGATTTTTTTGACTTTTTTAATATTTGTGAGAAAAAAAATGTAATAATTATGGTTTAAATGTAATATTTTGTCTTATTAACTTATGTAACTAATTTTGTCTTTCTTTACTTTTTTTAGCCAAAAAACAAATGCCAAACAATGTTTAAAAAACTTTCAAAATATGTCAACAGTTCAGGCAGATGTGAAATATCTCAACAATTAAGACAGATGTGAAAGATATGATACAAAGTGTAATAATAATTCATCCCTCTAATTTGAAAGTTCTAATTAAACACTACTGAAATAAAAATTCAAAAAAATAAAATAATAAATAAATTTAAAATATCACATCAATGAATGAGATCCACTCCTTAAAACTTATAGTTTAGAAGTTCCAAACATTTTTGTACGAAGTGTTAGTGAATGCCTAGATGAGCCATGGCCTTTTTTAGGGCTCCTACGTTGGAAGTTATTGATTGGTGTGAGTATGGTCAGGTAATGTCCATGTGTTTTGATTGATAAAAAGAGTTGAGATTACAATTTTATATTAGATGATTAAAAATAATAAAAAATAAATAAAAATTTCCGATTAAATAGGGATATAGTCATGTAATGTCCTGTCCTAGACAACCAATAATTTTTCTACATTGAGTAGTGTGTACTATATATTGTGAACAGAATCTAAAATTATCCTAGAAAGTGAGCTGTAATTATCCTAGAAAGTGAGCTGTATGTTTAGAAAATACATACTCCAAAAGGAAGAAACAAGCTTCTAGCACAATATCACAGAACGAAGGATTTTGCTGAGGACGGTTAATAAGTATTAAGTATCAAAATATTTATCATTTCACTATATTCTTCATATATTTTAAAATAATTTCACATATTTTAATATATCTTTGTATATATTTTTAATATTAACAATAGTTTTTGAAGTTATTTTTAACATTTCCCTATCAGAAAAAGTTTTTACGGAACAATAAACAGAAAGCTCATCTAAGAACATCTCTAATGCATAGTTAAAATAGCTGCCTAAGCCATAATATGACAATTTAGGAAAAAAATGACTTCTTCAATAGCATGCTATAGCAACTGTCAAATTTGACAAAATAATACTATTTATTGTCAAATTAATACTATTTATTACAAAATTATAACAATGAAAATGTCATTTTAACAAACAATATTGATGATACTCTTAACATAACAATTTAAAAATGTTTTCCCTATAATTATTCTATTTGCAAGTTATTTAAGAAAATAAATAAATAAATCTCTATTTGATTTTTAATGTTCAAATATATTTTCAAATTTCTTATTTTTCGTATTTTGTTATTTTTAACAATTTTTTTTTCATATTTTAATCATTTTTTATTTTTTAAATGTATCTAATTTAAATGTACTCAAAAACCAAAAAAAAAAAATTATATATATGTATATTTATATTTGGTGAATTTTTGAAATATTTTTATCACAAAATTATATATTTTTTTAAATATATAGATTAAATGGATCTAAAACAATTTTTTTTTAAAAAAAATAATTTACTAAAAATCAAACAATACAAATGAAAAACTCAAAAATTGTTTTTAAGAAGATATTGAAATTCCAACATTAACTTCAAATTTTGCCCAACATTATCCAAAACGTGCAGGCAAAATAGGATAAATTACATTTCTCTTCAGGCTTGACCAAAATATATATATATATATATATAATGAACTTGAAAAGTTTAACATAATTTATTGTTTTCTGGTAAGATTTTAACTTATGGGCCTTTTGTTTCATCAGTTATAAACAATTCATTAATCATATAGACTAAAAATAATAGTAATCTCTTTTATATACTAAACATATATATTTTATCTTATTTATTTTTATATTTTTATACTATCTATATTAATTTATCTTTAAGCCCCCTGGTTGGCTGCTAAACTCAGTTGTATGAAATTATTAGTACAATAAGATTGAGGATTCATTTGTAGGAATGGCAACGGACCGGGGCGGGGCCGGGGACCACCCTCCCCTTCCCCGATCCCCGAAGATTACAAAATCCCCGCCCCCGCCCCCGATCCCCGGCGGGGGAGCCCATCACCCTCCCGTCCCCGTCCCCTAACGGGGATCGGGTTTCCCCGACCCCGAAATATCCCCGGGCTTTTTTTTTTTTTTGAATTTTGTTCAACAAAACACTGACTAATCAATATAATATCACAAATCAACAAACCAGATCTGAGTACAGATCAATTTTGTGAACAATACAGATCAATTTTGAACAATACAGATAATTAAACAAATTAAAAAAAATTATTCTGAACAACACAGATCTGAGTACAGATCAACAACAACAACATCAGATTAGAGAGAGAGAGAGCGGACAAATCTAACAGATTGACGGTGTTGGCGAGATCGACGGTGACGGTGGCTGTTGCAGCACAAATCAACAAACCAGATCTGAGTACAGATCAATTTTGTGAACAATACAGATCAATTTTGAACAATACAGATAATTAAACAAATTAAAAAAAATTATTCTGAACAACACAGATCTGAGTACAGATCAACAACAACAACATCAGATCAGAGAGAGAGAGAGCGGACAAATCTAACAGATCGACGGTGTTGGCGAGATCGACGGTGACGGTGGCTGTTGCAGGGCCAGCGGTGGTGGCAGCGATGTCCCTGTGACTGTGAGAGAGCTGAAAGAGAGAGAGAGAGGAACGAGAGAGTTGAGAGTGAGTGAGAGGTGAGAACGAGAGAGTGAAGACAGTGAGAGAGTCGAGAGAGAAGATACGAGTGAGAGAGTTGAGGAGGGCGGTAGAGGAGCGGTGCTATCAGATCGGCGAAGGACGGCGGCGATGAGGAAGCTGTGACTTTCTTCTCTCTCTCTCTCTCTCACGCGAATTAAGCTGTGTTTGTGTGATTGTTTGAGGAAGGGGACGTGATTATAGTAATATATACACAGGGGTATTATAGTAATTTCATTTCAGAGAGAGAACCGGGGACGGGGACGGGGACGGGCCGGGTCTGGGGCTGTGAAAGCTATCCCCGGCCCCGGCCCGAAACTAATCGAGGATTTAATTTCAAATATCATCCCCGTCCCCACGGGGATATTTTTCAAGAAAAAACCATTATGATCGGGGTCGGGGGGTCGGGTCCCCCGTCGGGCCAGTTTCAAATTGTCATCCCTATTCATTTGGAATGTAAATTGACATTTTAACTATTTTAACTTGAGATTAAAAATTCTTATTTAGAATAGATATTTTAATTTTTTTGACTTTTATAAAAAAATAAATAAAATAATTATGATTTAGATGCTATATTATCTTATTAAATTAAAAAATTTATTTTACCTTTGTACCACTATGTTAGCCAAAAAGCCTCCGCCCGAGGGCTGACTGAAGAAAATTATTAGTGTGGTACAAGGGTCACGAATTCCACTCTCAGCCTATGTTTGGCAAGTGGGTTTGCAGGCTTTTTTGACTATTTTAGCCACAAAAAACAAAATAGACTTTTTTAGCCATAACAAACAAAACATCACATCCAACCCATAATCATTACATTCTTCTCTCACAAAAAAACTCAAAAAAGCCAAAAAGCCAAAAAACCCTTCCCAAACCAAGCTTTTAAGCCCAAGCTAAAATAGTCAAAAAAGCCAAAAAGCCAAAAAGCCAACCCACTTGGGGTCGGGTCCCCCGTCGGGCCAGTTTCAAATTGTCATCCCTATTCATTTGGAATGTAAATTGACATTTTAACTATTTTAACTTGAGATTAAAAATTCTTATTTAGAATAGATATTTTAATTTTTTTGACTTTTATAAAAAAATAAATAAAATAATTATGATTTAAATGCTATATTATCTTATTAAATTAAAAAAATTATTTTACCTTTGTACCACTATGTTAGCCAAAAAGCCTCCGCCCGAGGGCTGACTGAAGAAAATTATTAGTGTGGTACAAGGGTCACGAATTCCACTCTCAAAAAGTCTTGAACTAAAAAAAACAAACACTATGATGATAAGACTGAGTTCTCGTAAATCCTTAATCTAATAATTAAGAATTAACTTTTATCAATTAAAAAAAAAAAAAACTATAGATGTGTCCTATAATGATATTAATTGATTGGGATTAAACTTTCGCCTAATTTTCATTGTGGGCTATATAATCACAAAAGATTAAAAAAAAATTCCAAAATCACAAAAGGACAAAAGCTACAAAAGTACCAAACTATCCCATATACAAACAAAAAATCAAAAAAACATTATTCTATACTAAAGATAATTTTGTCACATTCTAAAGCTAAAAAATCAAAAAAGCCAAACAAGAATACCAAACAATTAAAAATATCACAAACTAGAAAAATCAAAAAACCTACTAAAAAAGCCAAAACCAAACGATACCCAAACATACTGGGTGTTTTCAGTTAGTATTTTAAAATAAATTTTTTTAAAAAAATTGCAAAATTTAATTTTTTTTTTAATTATGTGTTTAGTTGTATATTTTAAAAACAATTTTGAAATTTGAAATAATTTAATATTTTGTTATAATTAAATAAATATATATGAGAGAAAAAATAAAAGAGAATAAGAGAGTAATTAATTGATGTGTAGAAGAAAAAGTAATTTCGAAAATGTTCTTCAAAAAATTTAAATCAGACAAAATTTGAAAAACTTTACTCAAAAATGATATCTTGACATATGAACCAAACAAACCCATTAATATATGTAAAAATTCTCGATATATAAAAAATAACTTCGTTTATTTTTTTTATCAAGTCAAAATATAATAATATTTTACATCCAATTCTATGGGATTAAATTATTAAACCCAACCCCATTTATAGTCCCCTGGTGGGGCATGGGACCACAACATTATTTCAAAATAAACATTTGTTTAGAACCCTATAAGATTGGGAATTTAATCCCACCACTTCTAATTTTACTAAAAAAAAAAATAATATAATTATGTCAAAACTGTGACTTAATATTTTTATCTAAAATTATAGGAAAATAGTGTAATTTATCCAAGAAAATAAATTTGGGAGCATATTGGCATCCCAGCATTGACATCAAAAGCTTGCCAAACAATTCCAAAAGGGTCTGCATGAAACTGCATCGATTGTTTTGGTCTGTCAAGCACAAACCAACAAAAATCTAGCTTCAAAATGTAACTAATGGGTAATAAATAGAGCAACTAAGGACCTAAAGTAGACAGGAGAAGCTATTAGAATTAGACCTAGTCATGAGCTGCCAAGTATATGATATAACTAGGGGGTGATTTTGTGCAGAGATTTGTATAGCATCAATCAAACATCAATACCCACCGGTGGCAGACAGAGATGACTGCAGCTGCAGCAAGTGGTGATAACAGTCCGCCGCCGTTGGCCGCTGCTCCGGGTTGTGGTCCAAACACCTATTCTGCAAATCCCTAAGCAATTTAGGCACTCCCACCAACCCACATGTTTTCACCAATTGACCCACACCCCATACATCCACCTTCACCCCATGCAATCCCCTTCCCATCTCCGGTGCGTGCCTCCCACTAGCCGTCCCGTGCGGGTATATCTGCGGCGCCCCCACCGCCTCTTCAAACCCACTGATGAACCACTCGTTCTCTCTATCGCTCCTCATCACTTTGTCCCAACCCAAGTCTCTGTGCATGAATGACAGGTCATGCAATGCAACCAATGCCTTAGTCACATGCCTTAGAGCCTCAACTAGTTGATCACAGTTTGCGGGTTTTAGTTTGCACCCTCTGGGCTTAAATATCAATCCCAAATCTTTCTCTGATGATCGTTCGAGGTATTCGATGTGCGGGATTCGGTGTTCCAGGAAGTCGTAGATCTCTTTCACAGCAGCCCATTTTCTTTTACTTGAGAAGAACTTTGTCACTGTGTTTGGCGTCATTTCAATCACATTTCCATTACCATGATCGATCCGCTCAAAATCGCTGTAAGGAAAGAGCTTGTAATTGTTGCCATTGTTGATGTAGTTGAAGCACCGGTCGGCTAACAATGGCAATAAGCCTGCAATTCTCCAACATGGGACTAGGGCTTTTAATCTCTCTGCCGGTGTGGATAGGTCTAGGGTATAAAGATCAGTCCGGATTAGTCGATCCTGCGATTGACTCAATGCACAAAATGTTACCATGTAGCCAACAGCATAGTAGCCTAATATGTAAGGTAGGTCTACATAACTCCACAAAAGCTTTTCCACTATTGAAGATGAAGGATCAAGATAACCTTCCCTCAATTGATCACTCTCTTCCCCTCTCCACAAACAAAAATTTCTCACAAAACCAGTCACATTAGGCCATTGATCTTGAAGTGTTTCAGCCAATAATGACGAGGATTTTCGAACCAGAACCATTTCAACGGGACATAACTTGGATACAACCCTATTGATGCAATCATCCCAAAGGCCAATGAAAGAGTCCCTACTAGAGGCGGTGCCACCGCTTGGACTAGGGTTTGATCTGATAATTGGGCCTAACAAATCGAATGTGATACCTCTACAATCTAGCAGTTCAGAAGAGGTGGTAAAGAAGAGTTCTTTTCCTTGTGGCAAATCTCTGTATATGTCTTTTCGAAGTGGAAATCGTAACTCCTCTGGGGGTGGTTCTTGTAAGTACCATGAGAGCTCATACAAGCTCGGAAGCGTGGGTGGTGGAACTCGCAGACAACCCACGTAGTATTCGGTTGGGTCTTGAAACTCCCATGGAGGAATAGCTGCAACAACACCAGTATTGTATTAATATGTACATATAGGTCTATACATTAGAGGCTCACATACGAAATTATCCGAAGAAATATGTATGGATTAGCAATAAATTCAACCATGTCATTTGTGCACTAAAGAATTACACAAAATAGCCCCGCTAAATGTAGAAAAATGTTAGGAACTATTGTGATAATACCAATAAAAAAGAAGAAAAAACCGATGATGCATAAATCACAACTGCTGAGAACTGAAGATATCATCACCTAGAATATAACACGGTTAGGCAGCAAGTATCAAAGATGAATATATGTCTACAGTAATGCATGCAAATGAGTGTGAAAACTTACATCTGATGGAGGGTTCTGTAGATGTAAGTTGAGCTCTTTCATTGGAACCTGGGATGAATCATATATAGACCGTTAAATATACATATGCATGTTCCGAACTTGTCCAGAATATGACATACAAATCTTATTATTCTTTACTAAAAAAAAAGTTTTAAAAAAAATAAATAGATTATGGTACCAGAAGGAGCAGGAGCTGAGGAAGACTTTCTTCTGCCGAAGACTTTGACTTGTTGTCCAGCAACGAATCTGTCAACAGAGAAGCCTTTTAAGGCACCATCTTCAAATGCTTCCATAGTGCAAGCAACCATGGAATCATCCAAGAAAGTTAACTCATCTGCGTTCAGAAAGTTGGAGCCTTGGATCTTCACTCTCCCTCTGTGATGTTCACCTTCCTCAGCCCACAAGCTCACTAATTCTTCCCATATCATTCTGATCTTACCAATTCTACGAAACTCTTTAGAAGATGTTGACCCTGATGGACCTGAAACGTCTAGTGATGATGCATCAAACCCTAATAAGCTTCCTCTACTTCCATGGAGAAATGTCTCACCTCCACTTTTCATAACCAGTTGTTTAGCCCTTCCTGCAACATGATGAACTAATATAAACCACAGAGAGAGAGAGAGAGAGAGAGAGTGAGAAATTTGTGAAGGGGGTACCAGCTGAGAAAGAGAACTCTTCTTCTCCAAATGGAGGAGGTGGAGGAAGGGTCTTTATCGCCGCCGTGAGAGCTTCACCGGAAACAATGGCAGTTCTACTCTGAGGTGTTCTCATTCTAGACCCCATGAACTGAGACAGCTCTTCAAACACTTCCTCATCAAAAGAAGCAGGTAATCTATGGAGCTTCCTCTCATAAGGTGAAAGTCTGAAATAACTCTTACCAATGTGCTCTCTCTCTCCACCTCTCTCCCACTCATGAACTTTTCTAAACTCACCCAACATGTTATCCCACTTAGTACCAGCTGTCTTAGCATCTCTATTAACACCATGTCTGTTCAAAAACTCAGCAACTTCTCTATCTTTATCAGCCCTAGTCTTTCCTCTTGAGGGGACTGCCACGTCAGCTCCGGTGGCCGGAGCTCCTTGAGGAGGCTCACTCTTTGAAGACGAGCCTGACCCATCAGACCCACCTTGGTACTGAACCCTCCAAGCCCTAGCAAGCCACAACATCTCGTTTGGTTTCCAAACTGGGCTCACGTACTTGCCCTTTCTGAACTGGTGGTCAAACTGATCTCCCCCCTCTGGCTTGCTTGTTTCTTGGCCTGAGGCAGCGGAGAGAGAAGGACGAGGAGATTGTGAAGGAGACGACGCCGTATCTGAAGACGAAGCTGGTTTCGTGGTGATGTGTTTTGACGGGGAAGGACTTGACTCGCTGCTCAGAATATTCATTTGGGTATGTCTTTGTTGTTGAGATTGAGATGGAGATGGAGATGGTAATTGCTTCCATTGAGCACTTGTGTATCTGGCCCTCTTTGGATTCACTGCTTCAAACTGTTGTTGTTGTTGCTGCTCAAAAGTAGCAGAACTTGTCAAATTGATTGGGATGAATAAAGGAGCAGGGATAAATGTTGGAGCTCCGGTGACTACGACGGCGGATGACGGTGGTTGATGGAGGTGTTGTGGTGGTGGTGGTGGTGGTTGTCTGGTTTCAGTTGATTCCTCAACTGGATCTTTGGGAGAAGGAGAAGGAGAAGATAAATGTTGTTGCTGTTTCTTAGTAGTTTCACCTTTGTTGTCACCCATCATCTCAAATGGGCCCAAAAGACTTTGCTAGAGAAACGTTAAACAAGAACCAGAACAAGAAGAGCAACCACCATTACTGTAGGACTGACTTGGTTCGTTTTATACTTTATATACGAGTCTTGCTGACTTGGTTCGTTTTATACTTTATATTCGAGTCTTGCTTAGTGTTTAGGTCTCATGTAGCCTGTGTTTGACAAGTGGGTTTGCAGGTTTTTTTGGCTATTTTAGTCACAAAAAACAAAATAGGCTATTTTAGCCATAACAAACAAAATATCACATCCAACACATAATCATTACATTCTTCTCTCACAAAAAAATTCAAAAAAGTCAAAAAGCCAAAAAGCCCTTCCCAAACAAAGCTTTTAAGCCCAGACTAAAATAGCCAAAAAAGCTAAAAAGCCAAAAAGCCAACCCACTTCCCAAACGGAGGCGTAATATTTTTCTCTCACTAAAAGCATCTAGGGTTAGCATTTAGAATAAGTTTATGTATATAGAAATTAAATATAGAATGTGATATAATTTTTTTTATAAGGGGAAGAGGTCTACATGTGTATGACTACACGTGAGATTCATTTTTGAAAAGAGAATTATGTTTCATTATATATTTAGGTTTTTATATTTCTAATATTACTGTTAGTTTTCATTTTTCAGCATATCGAAATAAAGTTGGTATTCATTAATCACCCTCATTAGTAAAAACTAATAGTAGTATGATGGTGAGCGGAGGAAGCAGAGTGGCAGTGGACGGCGGAAGCAGAGCAGTAGTGGGTGGAGGAAGCAGAGTAGCAGTGGGCGGATGGCAACCAGTATTGTATGGAAAGAGACGATATGTTCAAAGAGAGGATTCTAGAAAAGGTAATCAAGGGGTTTTTACGGTGTTTGTTGACAACCTTCCATGGTCTATGAATCCAAAAGGTTTGTTCGCGCTATTCTCAAAATTCGGAATTGTGAAAGATGTTTTCATCCCAAACAAGCTTAGAAAGGCTAGCAAAACAAGGTTTGGATTCGTTAGATATGATTACCCAGTGGCAGCTAAAGTTGCAATTCAAAAAGCTAATAGATTATGGTGTGATGATAAAGAATTACAAGTGAAGATAGTAGAGTTCGAGAAGATAAGAACAAATGAGAAGGAAGGTGAGCCCATTAAGAATGTGCATGATGTAAAGGGACGACCACTGGACCATTTGAGAAGAAATGATGAAAGAGCCTTTAAGGTAATGATGGGACATCGTTCCTATGCAAAAGCTGTGTTACAAGGCAACAAATCTGAAAATGAAAGGCATGTCATTATAAATGCTGAATCAGGTAATGGATGGTTGTATGAGAGTGCCATTGTCAAACTGAAAAGGTATTATACCTTCTCAGATTTTTGTAAGGATGTTCGGCAAAGAGGTTATCAGGATATTATTGTAAGAAAATGGGGAGGTAAAGTAGTTATGGTATCATTCAAGTCAGTGGAGGACAAGAAGTCTCAGTTGGTCCTCTTGGATAATTGTCTAAAAGAATGGTGTGAATCTGTAATAGAGTGGCAGAAAGGTATGCATCAAAAGCAGGAGAGAGCAATCTGGTTAAGCTGCCATAGGGTGCCTCTGAACCTCTGGAACATTGATACGTTTAATAAAATAGGTCAAATTTGAGGGGAAGTTATTCGAATAGATGAGAACACATCAAACCAGATATCCTTCAGCTGTGGGCGGGTCAAGTTTGCAACAAGAACTATGTCCTTAATTAATACCGTAATACAGATTAGATGTGAAAGTATGCTTTATCCAGTTAGAGTGTGCGAAGAGCAAATTATGGTTAATAAATTTACTGATATATCAAGTAAGTGTAAGTCAAGTCAGAAGAGAGATGATCTTTGCAGTGTAATCGGAGGAGAGGAGCAAGTGACTGGAAAGTTTGCAGAGGTGAACGAGGCTGAGGTGGAAGGCCCAATGGGTAATATGGTGGACATAAGTGCTGAGATGGCACGATCACAGATAGCTGATTTGGCACACATTGTATCAGTGGCAGGGGGGAAAATGTCTAACGGTGGTTCCACCTCGAGAGTGGAGGAGTCAGTGGAGGTGGGTTTGGGAAGCCAAATGGTAATTAAAGCAGGCATGGCGAGAACTAATTCAGAGAATTTGAATGCCATCCAACTAGTTAATGAAGTGAGTGGGCCGGTAGAAGGTTAGGGTAATGGGTTCATGAGAAGCATTAGTGAGAATGGACTTGATATCCCAAGGATAGCATTGGAAGCGGATTTGGTTCATATCCAGTGTGATGGGCCTAGATTTGTGCTCATGGGTAGTAATTGTAATTCAGATAATGAGGTGTCACAGGCCCAGGATGTTGGGTCATCATCACTTTATGTTGAGGCTTCATTTGATAGTGGTAACACATATGGGAAAAAAAGGGAGTTAAAATAGAGGAAAAAGTTAGTATGGAGGAATAGTAATAGAATATCAGTGGACAAGCAGGGGAGAGCCAGGGGAGGGAGAAATGAAAGGAAATGAGGTGCAGTGGGTATGGGAAGCTGGAGCAGAGGTGTTGTCCTAAGAGGTAAAGCAGGGTTAAAAGCAAGATCGGATGCACGAGGAAAAGTCACAAGCAAAGATAAGTCTAGGGCATGATCAAAATTGGAGGTGATTGGGAGAAACTTACATAGAGATTTGTCACCTTAGGAGGAGGCAGAAGCAAAAATATGTATGGGCAAGGCCTTAGGCATATGTTTTGGTGGGAAGGAAGAGGAGGTGAAGGAAAAATTAAAAGCTATGGAGATCAAGGATAAAGTCCAGGCAGCTTCAAGGGTTGCAGATGCACAGTTGGGAGCTGATGTGCAAAATTGATTGAATGTATCAGGTGGTTACAGGTGTTATATAATGTGTCTCTATGAAGCTCTTATCATGGAATGTAAGGGGTTTGGGTAAATCTGTAAAGAGAAGGAGGGTGAAATTACTGCTCGAGGATAGGAAAATTGATTTTGTTTTTTTCCAAGAGACAAAGAAAACTGAGGTTACACCAGATTTTGTAAAATCATTATGGCCTGTGGATGAAATGGAATTCATGGTAGTTAACTCTGAAGGGAGAGCTGGTGGGCTTCTGTGCATTTGGAAACCAACAGCTTTCAAGCTATCCCAGTGTTGTAGTACAAGGCATAGCATTGTACTCTCAAGTACTTTTCTTCCAAATTTTAACTGTGTCCTTGTCAATGTTCATGCTCCAAATGAAGTTAATGAGAGAAGTAGATTCTGGAATGTGCTGTATGGATTGAGATCTAGATTATGTAATCCTTGGTGTCTGGCTGGTGACTTCAATGAGATACGGAATCTTGGAGAAAGAAGGTGGTGTTCTAAAAGAGATAGAGGGATGAAAGAGTTTAATTTATTTATAGAAAATATGGAGCTTCTTGATTTATCCATGTTGGGAAGACAGTTCACATGGTGCAATTCTAATGAAGGAGAAAGATGGAGTAGAATTTGACAGAGTACTCATGTCAACGGAGTGGGTGGAATTCAATTGAAGTGGATGGGGAGATTCATGAGGATCCACAAAAGATCAAATTTGAGGGAGCTAAACACTTTAAAAGCAGATTCTCTTAAGAGTGGAAATTTCGACCTAAGCTCTAAGGTGTTTTCAAGTCCATTGGTCAAGATACTGATTCTAATGGGCTGGTCACTCCTTTTTTAGAGGAGGAGATTTGGAGAGCTATTAGAGAGAGTAATGCAAATAAGGCACCAGGACCTGAAGGTTTCAACTTGTTTTGCTTTCAAAATTGTTGGAAAGTTTTTAAAAAGGATATCTTGCAATTCTTCAAGGAATTCTATGATAATGGATGCTTAGCAAAAGGTATCAATAGCTCTTTCATCACATTGTTACCTAAGAATGAGAATTCAGGTGGTGTTTCAAATTATAGACCAATTAGCCTTATTGGATATCTGTACAAAATTTCGTCTAAGGTTCTAGCTTCTAGACTTAAGAAGGTATTACCTAAAATAATTGGAGAATCTCAGTCCGCTTTCATTGGGGGAAGGAACATTTTAGATGGGATTTTAGTATCCAATGAAGTAGTGGATTGGTGGAAGAAGAAAAAGAAGAAAGGGGTAATTTTGAAACTAGATTTTGAAAAAACATATGATACAGCAAATTGGGAGTATCTCTTTGATATGATGTTGTAGCACGCGCCCGCGGAGGGGGCCCTCGCTTACTACAGTTCGGACTCGCGATTTTTGTTGTCGCGGTTCTTAATCTGAACCAAAGAGTCCAAATCTGGCAAATCGTTTTGAGAAACAGATTTTTGAAAAAGTAGTGCCAAACATGGACTGCTTTGCCAGATACAGAGTCGCCACCTAAATATTTTTAAAATGGGGAAATTTAGGAAACCCTGACTCGGTGCCGAAGGCCAATGTTTTCTAAGATTGATTTGAGATCCGGGTATCATCAGCTAAAAGTTAAGGCAGAGGATGTTGAGAAAACGAGAGCGATCCTAAGCTGCACAATCTCAAGAGCGATTCCACACAGGTCTTCGCAGGACTGCGCAAAAACATTGAATATCTTCCACTCCATCATTACAAATTTGAATATCTTCCACTTAAACCTTTTGGCCTGCTGCTGTGCTGGGCTGTTTGAACCTTTGTTTTGGGTTGTTTGAACTCGTGATTTAATCAAATATTAAATACATTCTAACAACATTTAGAATAAAGGTTTAGGTGAGAAATAATGGGACAAAATAAATTTTGATTCTATTTTTTCTCTTTCAAATAAATCATCAAAATAAATTTTGATTAACATATAATTAAATAAATTATCAAAATAAATTTTGGATTCTATTTTTCTCTTTCAAATAAATTAAAACATAATTAAATAAATCATTAAAATAAATAAGTCTAACAATCTCCCCATTTTTGATTATGGCACACAATAATGTTTTGATTTGATTTGGGAGTAACAAGGGCTTCCTCTCAAGTCATGCTCCCTGAATTCATTTCTAAGGCCTCGTTTGGGAACATGCTTTTTTAGTAACTTTTTGACTTTTTAGCTAACATGTGATGTAAAAAAAATTAGTATGTCTGG